TACATTGGCACAGATGCTTTTCCGGAAAAAGTGCTTTTCCAGAAAAGCATCCTGCCAATGTAGACGCGCTTTTTCCGGAAATACTTATAATGGAAAACTGTTCCGTTTTAAGCATTTCCGGAAAATCATGCCAGTGTAGACGTAGCCTAGGGGTTTTGTGTAGGAGAAAGTGCACACAGTGGCACCAGTTACTCAGGACCTTCCTAAGAGGGTTGCCTATGGGTGAGTCTACACGGCACCCTAAACTTGAAATAATATACATGCAATCTTATCTCAAACCTATTTCGAAATAGCTTATTTTGAAATTTGGCACCACATCTACACAGCACCAATTTTCAAAATCATAGAATCATAGAGCTGGAAGAGACCTCAGGAGGTCATCAAGTCCAGCCGCCTGCCCAAGGCAGGACCAAATCAACCCAGTCAGGGCTTTGTCAAGCCGAGACTTAAAGACCTCTAGGGATGGAGATTCCACCACCTCCCTAGAGAACCCATCCCAGTGCTTCCCCACCCTCCTAGGGAAATAGTTTTTCCTAATATCCAACCTAGACCTCCCCCACTGTAACTTGAGACCGTTGCACCTTTTTCTGCCATCTGTCCCCACTGAGAACAGCCTCTCTCCATCCTCTTTGGAACCTCCCTTCAGGAAGTTGAAGGCTGCTCTCAAATCCCCCCTCACTCTTCTCTTCTGCAGACTAAACAAACCCAAATCCCTCAGCCTCTCCTCATAGGTCCTGCGCTCCAGCCTCTTAATCATTCGGGTCGCCCTCTGCTGGACCCTCTCCAATGCGTCCACAACCTTTCTATAGCGGGGACCCAGATCTGGATGCAGTACTCCAAATGTGGCCTCACCGGAGCCAAATAAAAGGGAATAATCACTTCTCTGAATCTGCTGGCAATGCTTCTCCTAATGCAACCTAATATGCCATTAGCCTTCTTGGCTACAAGGACACACTGTTGACTCATATCCAGCTTCTCATCCACTGTAATCCCCAGGTCCTTTTCTGCAGAACTGCTACTTAGCCATTCAGTCCCCAGCCTGCAGCAATGCTTGGGATTCTTCCGTCCCAAGTGCAGGACTCTACACTTGTCCTTGCTGAACCTCATCAGATTTCTTTTGGCTCAATCCTCTAATCTGTCCAGGTCACTCTGGACCCTATCGCTGCCCTCCAGCGTATCTAATGTGCTATTTCAAGCCATCCCTTAATCCTCGTGCAACGAGGATTACCAGGATGGTGAAATAGCAAACCCATTTTTTCTGGTATTCCGAAATAGCCGTGCAGTGTAGACGTGCCCTACTTGATTGGAACTTAAGGCCAGGAATCTATTCCCCGAGCTGTGTCTGGCTGGAGTGACTCTTAGAGCTCCAAGTGGCCAGTTTGAAACAGTGCAGCTCCTTCAAACGGGCTGGAGCTGTCAGTCCTTCATCCTTCTAACTGTCCTGGGACAGACGGGACCAGACCCTCCGCTGGTGTCAATCGGCATAGCTCCACTAAAGCCAATGAAGTGATGCTAGCTCACACCTGCCGAGGATTTGACCCAGTGTGTTTTAATGTATAGGTCTGTGAGATAACACCTTGAAAACAAAGTCTCTGTGTATTGTCAGCTTTTCTACTTGTAGTCATCTCTGTCTTCTACAGCAGTGGTTCTCAAAGGGTGGTCCAGGACAATCTTGCAGGTGGGCTGTGGGCTCAGAGCTTACTCCTCCCCTCCCACACAGCAGGAAGCCTGTGCTGGCACTGCAGCCCTGCACACACACCCCTGCAAAGTTGGCTTCCCACTGCAAGTGAGGGTGGGGAAGCCCCAAGCCTCATGGGCCAGATCCAGCTCGCAGGGGGAGGAAGTGGCTCCATATGCTGTCACTCCCTCTCCCCTCCCCAACCCACCCCCAGCTGGGGAAATGCCAGCACAGGAAACTGCACACCTGGAGGCTTTCCCCGCTGCTCCCATTGGGCAGGATCCTGGCTAGACCCCCACCTCAAGCACCCTCCTGCACCCAACCTCCCACCCAAACTCCCCAACCTTAGCCTGCTCCTGCACCCTACCTCCTGCACAGATCATCACCCTCATTTCACTCCTGCACCCAACTCCCAGCCACACCCTGCACCCCAACCCCATCCTGCACCCATTTTGTCATCATGGGTGGTTAGCTGGTCGTCCGTGGAAAGGTTTGTGTTGGGCAGGATGGGCCGCAGGCCAAAAAGTTTGAAATGCCACTGTTCTACAGATAGTGGCTAAGCAGCAGTTCGGCAGAAAAGGACCTGGGGATTACAATGGATGAGAAGCTGGATATGAGTCAACAGTGTGTCCTTGTAGCCAAGAAGGCTAATGGCATATTAGGTTGCATTAGGAGGAGCATTGCCAGCAGATCTAGAGAAGTGATTATTCCTCTTTATTCAGTTCTGGTGAGGCCACATCTGGAGTATTGTATCCAGTTCTGGGCCCCCCACTACAGAAAGGATGTGGACACATTGGAGAGGGTCTAGCAGAGGGCAACCAAAATGATGAGGGGGCTGGAGCACATGACTTATGAGGAGAGGCTGAGGGATTTGGGCTTTAGTCTGCAGAAGAGAAGAGTGAGGGGGGATTTGACAGCAGCCTTTAACTACTACCTGAAGGGAGGTTCCAAAGAGGACAGAGAAATACTGTTCTCAGAAGTGACTGAGGAGCAATGGTCTCAAATTGCAGTGGGGGAGGTGTAGGTTGGATATTAGGAAAAACTATTTCACTAGGAGGGTGGTGAAGCCCTGGAATGGGTTCCCTAGGGAAGAGGTGGAACCTCCATCCCTAGAGGTTCGACAAAGGCCTGTCTGAGTTGATTTAGTTGGGGTTGGTCCTGCTTTGGGCAAGGGATTGGACCTGATGACCTTCTGAGGTCTCTTCCAGCTCTCTGGCACCTTAGAGACTAACAAAAATATATATGATATCATGAGCTCATCCAAAGAAGTGAGTTTTGTCCATGAAAGCTCATGATACTCTCTCTCTGTATATATGTATATTGTTAAGTCTTTAAGGTGCCACAAGACTACTCCTTGTTTTTAAAGTTACAGACTAACACAGCTACCCCTCTGAGACTTCTACAGATCTCTCCAATGACAGCATGACTTCAAGCTCATCTGCAAGGTCCCGCCCTGTCCACACTCAAGTTCCTCTTAAACTGGGGTTCTCAACCAGGGGATATGTGTACCCTTGGGGGTATGCAAAGGTCTCCCAAAGATCTTTAATTCATCTAAATATTTGCCTAGGTTTACAGCAGGCTACATAGAAAGCAATAGTGAAGTCGGTACAAACTAAAATGTCATACAGGCAAAATGAGAAAGTAAGGATTTTTTCAGGGGGGCTGTGTCTACACTGGGCCACTTATTCCGGAAAAGCAGCCGCTTTTCTGGAATAAGCTGCGAGCTGTCTACACTGGCCCCTTGAATTTCCGGAAAAGCACTGACAATCTACTGTAAGAAATCAGCTGCTTTTCCAGAAAAACTATGCTGATCCCACTTGGGCAAAAGTCCTTTTTCCAGAAAACTGTTCCGGAAAAGGGCCAGTGTAGACAGCCCAGTAGTCTTTTCTGCAAAAAAGCCCCGATCCCGAAAATGACGATGTAGACGCTCTTTTTCCAGAAATACGTATAACGGAAAACTGTTCCATTTTAAGCATTTCCGGAAAAAGGTGCCAGTGTAGACGTAGCCTAATACTGGGGACACATTTGTATTTTTATGTCTGACTTTGTAAGTCAGGTGAAACTTGGGGATTGAGAACCGCTGCTTTCAAAGAATTTCAGAGGGGCAGCCAAGTTACTCTGTAACTGGAAAAACTTAAAAAAACAACAAATAGTCTTGCAGCACTTTAGAGACTAACAAAACATGTAGATGGTATCATGACTTTTCATGGGCACCACTCAATAATTCCAGTCATCTGAAGAAGTGGGTGGTGCCCACAAAAGCTCCTGATGCCATCTACATGTTTTGTTAGTCTCTAAGGTGCTGGAGGACTATTTGTTGTTTTTAAAGTTTTTTTTCCAAGTACAGATCAACATGGCTACCTCTGAAACTTTTGCTTTCAAAGATGCGCTTTTGCCTTGCAGATTATAGTGAACTGACTTAACTTGTATGTAAATTGCCTATTGTTGATCCTCTCCCCTAACCTGTCAGCTTGTCAGTCTGTCCTTAGACAAGACCTTTAGACAGAGGCCTGTCTCCAGTGTTTGGAAAGTGCCTCAGACTTTGGGAGCGTGCCATCAATAAAAAAGAAGGGAGATGTATGAGCCTAGGGTACTTCACTGAAGAGTCCTTATTCTCGCTTGTCCTCTTTCTGCCTGGCTGCTGCTCTCCACCCCAGAAGCAGCTGCATTTGCGTGCTGCTCTGTGTGTAACTTGTGAAGCATTTTGAATCCCGGAGTCTGAAAGACGTTCAGAATGGGCTGCCTTCAGTAAGTGACCGAGCCTCCATGAGCAAGGGCTGCAGAAGTTGGTACGGTGTATTTCAAAGACTTCGGGAGTCAGTATAAAGAAGGCTTAGGAGGGAGGGGAAATAGGGTTTAGGAGGCAGTACAGCCTAGGGGCTACAGCGCTAGTTTACAACGCTGGAGACCTTGGTTCTGTTCCCAGCGCTTACCCCCCACCCCCTTTGCCGGCTGCTCCGTGCCTCAGTTTCCCCGCCTGAAAATGAAGTAGCGTCAGCCCACGCTAAGGGCACTGTGAAAGGCATCGTGGTGCTCAGGGGCTATCGATGGGCAGCGCTGTCGAGCTAGCTGCAGTGCCGAGAGGAGAATGCCACCAGTACAGGCTGTTACCTTCAGCGGCTCCAGCAGCACAAAGGAGGTGATGAAGGAGAAGAGGGAGGAGATGAGCCACATTAGGGCAGTGTGGTCATGCAGGGAGGCGCCATAGAGGATGGTGATGGTGAAGCAGCCTGCTAGGGGC